GGCCGTGTAATTGTAGCATACATAAGCTTCCCAATCAGCTTCTGGTACAATGTAGGATCATGCAATGTTATATCTCCCATAATGGCTGTGATCTTATCATATTCCACTGTAGTCAACTTTAGATTGGTTTGCATATGAGTGATAGCAGGTTTGGCTCCACTGAGGCCCATGTCAGAGATTAGCTCAAGTACATATTTTCTTTGGTTTAGTATAATGCTAGATTTTGATCTAAGAATCTCAATGCCCAAGAAGTATTTGAGTTCCCCTAAATCCTTTAGTTTGAATTTCTGATGGAGCACCTGCTTGGCTTCAATGATCAAGTCTGCATTGCTGCCTGTAATGAGCATATCATCTATATAGACTAAAATGACCACTATGCCACCCTTTTTCTTCAAGGTGAATAGGGAAGAGTCATGACTACTCTAAGCAAATCCTGCTTCAAGAAATGCCTCTGTCAATTTGATGTTCCATTGCCTAGAGGCTTGCTTAAGTCCATATAAGGATTTGAGTAACTTGCAAACCTTCTACTCCCCTGTCTCCTAAAACCTTCAGGTAGTTTCGCGTACACTTCCTCACAGAGATCACCTTGCAAGAAAGCATTGTGCACATCCATTTGGTACAAATACCATCCTCTGGACACTGCTAGTGCTATCACAGACCTGACTATGACCATCTTGGCCACAGGTAAAAAAGTGTCATGATAGTCAAGGCCTTCCTGCTGACTGTATTCTTTGGCAACCAACCTAGCCTTAAACCTCTCAACTTCTCCATTGGTATGATATTTGATCTTATATACCCAGTTAGAGCCCACAATGTTCTTTCCTGCAGGTAAATCAACAACTTCCCAAGTGTGATTGTCCTGTAGAGCTTGGATTTCTTGTTACATAGCTTGAATCCATCTAGTGTCTTTGGTTGCTTGTCTGAAAGTCTTTGGTTCCACCAGGCTTGAAATTTTAGACAAGTATTTGCAGTAAGTGGGGGGCAACATTATCATAAGAGAGATAATTTACCAAAGGATATTTACTGGAAGCTTTGTTTGGTGCTATGTAGTCCTTCATCCAAATGGGCTCTTTGGACTCCCTAGCAGATCTTCTAACAACTGCTGGTGGTGTTGGTGTTGTTTCTGCTACTTGTGGTGCCATTTCCTGCATTGTCTCTTCCTGTGATGCTGTAACATGTTCAGGTTCAGCACCTTCAGTGACTGATTCTGCAGGTTCAAGATCATCAACTGTATTAGGTGTGTGAGTTGTAGTAATAAGTGTTTGAACTTCTTGCACATCCTGACTTTGTACATTATCAGGCATGTCAAGAAACCAGGATTGCTCTATATCTAAGTTTGCAGCAAAAGGAAATTCTGATTCCTTGAAAACTACATCCCTACTCACAAATAATTGTTTGCTATCCAATTCCAGTGATAGATAGCCTTTCTGTCTCTCAAAATAGCCCATAAGAACTGTAGATCTAGCTCTTACAACAAACTTATCACCTTTGGGTACAATGGTTGCATAACATAAGCATCCAATTACCCTCAAATGCTTCAGAGATGGAGACTTGGAGTGTAGCATTTGATAGGGACTTTCCTTTGATGGCTACAGATGGTAGCCTATTAATCAAGTACACGACAGTTGTAACACAAATGCCCCAGTACTTAGTTGGCATTTTGGACTAAAACTTTAAAGCTCTTGCTACCTCTAATATATATCCATGTTTCCTCTCCATAACACCATTCTGTTGTGGAGTATGTGTGCAACTACTCTGATGTATTACACATAGATCTTGCAAGAGTGATTTACACTGAGAATTAAATAATTTTGTTCCATTGTTAGATCTTATTATCTTCACCATAGTCCCAAACTGATTTTTAATCATCAAGAGAAAGTTCTTAATAACAAAAATGACTTCTGGTTTAAGTTGTAGTAGATGAATCCATTTATAACGACTAAAATCATCTACAATAGTCAAGAAGTAGCATTTCTTATCATAGGTAGCAACTTTATAAGGGCTCCAAAGATCCATATGAACAAGAGCAAAAGGGAATTCAGTTCTGGAATTGCTAGTAGGAAATACTAGTCTAGCTTGCTTAGCTAGTGGGCAAACAGGACACTTATTGAACACTTTATTATTTTCAGCACTTTCTAAGTTCATACTCTTCATAGCAGTTGGTGAGGGATGTCCAAGCCTCATATGCCACAGTCTGCAGTCTTCTCCTTTTACTGCAGCAGCCAACCTCTAATTCTCGACCTTATTTTTGCCAATTGCTTCTCTCAAAATGTACAGTCCAGCATTTCCCTTAACAATCCCCTTCACCCTGCCACTGGAAAGGTCCTGAAACAAGACAAAGTCAGGGAAGAAATTGACTGAACATGAGAGCTGCTTGGTTAACTTGGATACTGACAACAAATTGAATTTGAAGTCAGGTATGAACAATACATCACTAATGGATTCAGTTCCAAACAAACGAGACTAACCTTATCTTCTGTAGGCCGATGTACACTATCCTTAGAGGCTTTCCTAGTATGAGCTTCATCTTTTAATAAGTTTTCAGTTGCTGTTATGTGGTGTGTAGCACCTGAATCGACAATTCATTCATTTGCAAAGCTACTAGTCATTAAGCAAGTAACAATACCTGCTATATTAGCTTGAGCATCAACGCTGTCTTTGCTTAGCATTCCCAGAATTCGTTTGTATTGATCCTCAGTGAAGTTTGGTCCTTTTCCAGCTAAAGTAGTATGTAAATCATCACTTGTTGAAGAACTTTGGGATTGAACCTCAGCACTTGCAGCATTTCCACATACATTATTCACAGCATTGATAGATTGTTGATTTCCAAATTGTCCTCTAAAATTGCCATTACCTCTACGAGGCTGTCCACCAAAGTTGCTATTATTAAACTTCTTCTTTCCTTTAAAATCTTCAGGATATCCTATGATTTTGTAATAGTTTTTCTTTGTGTGACCTCTAAGCCCACAATGCTCACACTGTATAAAGGGCTTCTTTCCCCTGTAACCTTGACCCCTGCCAACTTGCATTGCCATTGGATCAATTTTTTCATTCAAACCAGAAGATGAGTGTTGGGACTCATCCTCAATTACCATAGCATACGCCTGATTAAGAGATGGCTCATTTGATTGTAGCAAAAATTGTCTCCTGACTTGGTCATATGAGTCATTTAGGCCACTTAGAAATTGTAGCAACCTTTGTTGTTGTAAGTGTTCAGCATACTCTCTCGAATTAGAGGCAGGTACTATGTCATCATACTCTTTCCACAAACCTTTCAACTTAGTGAAGTAAGTAGAGACAAAGTTTGTACCTTGAGATAGAGTAGCAATAGCTCTGTGAATCTGAAAAATCCTCATGCAATTGACCTTGTCAAACCGTTCTCTTAGATCTTCCCAGACCAAATGAGTATTTGAAGCATACACAATTCCACTAAGGAGCTCTGTCGATACTGTGTTCATGAGCCATGAGAGAACAATTGCATTACACATTTCTCACTGTTCATGCAATTCTGTCTCACATGACTCCTTTGAGCAGGTGCCAGTCACAAACCTTAGCTTTCTCTTCCCAATAATGCGATCTTCATTGTCTTGCTCCAAAGACCATAATTCTCTAATCCTACTAACTTCACAGAGATTAGAACAATGCCAGGAATGTCGGATGTACCAAGGTATAATGGATGTGTATAGGAGATTGCTGTTTCTGCCAGTGAAGAATTCAATTTTCAAAAAACACTCAGTGAATGAAGGATCGATAGACTCGAGGATGCCGTAGATTACATTGATAAACATGCACAGATTATCAGTAGCTCCTGCTCTGATACAATGTCAAAAATAGTGCTAATCTACACTTGGAGCCTCAAGCTCGACAAGTCCTCTAATGGAGGAAGCTTCTAGAGAGGAGGAGAAGAAGAGAGCATTTTGGATAAAATGAGTGTTATGTCTTCATTAGCAAATCCTTCGGAAGACTATATACAAAGCTATACAAAGCTCCACTAACTCCACTAACTAACTCTTAACTTACCAATAGGTCGTTGGCACGTCACCTTTAACTAACCAATCTGCTAACTAACTATCAGCTAATAAACTATTAACATACTATCATTAACAACTAACAATACAAATCATATCAGCTAACAAACTATTAACAGACTATCACTAACAACTAACAATACAAATCACTATAAAAAAATCAGTGAAAAAGTATAATCTTCCACGCCTGAGATTCAACTACTAGGAAGTACTGCAAATGTGTGTTATAAGTCGCAATTGACGAATGCGATATATCGCAGTCGATGAATACTAAAATTGACTAATGCGATATATAAATCATAATTTCGGAACGCGGTGTATAAGTCGTAATTGATGAATGCGATATATAAGTCTCAATCGATGAATGAGATTTATAAGAAAATTGACTAATGCGAGCTATAAATCGCTTTTACAATTGCGACTTATAAATCGTAAATAGTAAATGTGCCTTATAAATCGTTATTGGTAAACGCAACTTATCATCGCAATACTTGTACTTTAAGCCACTATTAAGCTGGTCACAATAAATGTAACTCGGAAGCTTCAATGTCGACGCTTAAAAAAAGAAAAATAAGAGAGCGATCAGTCCTCCGGGCTCCGGCAATCACTAACCGTCTTTATAAATCACAATTGAATAATACGACTTGTAAATTACTATTGAGAAATACATCTTATAAATCAATTGACAAGTGTATTTTATAATTTGCAATCATAAACGCGATTTATAGTAATTGACAAATGAGATTTATATATCAAAATCGCATATTCTCATTAAAATAGTCAAAATCGCATATATTAACTTATAGTAATCGTTATTATAAATTACATTAAATAAAAAAAAGAGAATGTGGAGGAAAAGGATTTTGAAGAGTGGGCCCCGCTGGACGCTAACATTGATTTCAGTTTGCCTTGGGCCACACAAGCGCAAAAGGCTAATATGAAGCAAACGAAACGTCGTCGTCACCCTGGAAATAGTCACTGTACTTGAGCTATACATTCCAATTTTAGTCTCTGCTTTTTTTCTGGCAATCGGCGCACGAAAATGGCAGCCTCAGAAATGCTATCAAAGGAGCAATTGCTTCATCTTTTTGATCGCTTCGCGTTCCTCACCTCCCAACCTGGTACAGACCTCTTCCCTTCTTCAACTTCATTTGCATCTTCACCTTTTCCTTGTTTTTTTTATTTTTATTTTTATTTTTTTATAACTATATGTAAGAGATGTGTCATTTATCCTTACTTTTCTTACTGCTAAGAGTATTTTAATTCCTCAACAGATGTCAAGAAAAGGATTGCTGATGCTGTCAGCGACAAGCAGGTGAAAATTTCGTCTTTGAAAATTACTGTTTCTTCAACTTTATTTAAGAGTAATTAGATTGTTGAATTTATGCATCTGTATCAGCTTAAGTTTTAAGCAGTTGATTCTGTGTAGCTATATATATCAAAGGTGCTTTTATAAGTTCTATTAAGCAAATGCTGAAGCAGCTAAAAACTCAAAAAGGCTTATATGAAAGAATTTTGGTAATTGTTTGAAACAGAATGTTGCTATGTAGTGAAAGAATGCTCTTCTTATTCACTTTTGGCATGCTTTTGAAAAAAAAAAAATTCTTTCTGCTTTTGTTACTTTGTGCTCGATTCTTAAGAAATAAGGTTTCTTAAAGGTTTTATCTTTATGTGAAGTTACTTTACCATTCATAAAGTTTTTCCTCAATATTCAAATTAACTTTTTTATTGCAACATTTTTGCTAGTTAAGTTTTTGGATATAATTATAATTGGGCCCTGAAACTGCAGTATGCATGTGGAGTGTGGACGAAATGAGTTGTGCAGATGTATGATAAGTGAAGAATGATAACTTATTAGTTTACTATTTTACTGTACTAGAGTCTTTTCTAGTTAACAAATGGTTGATTTAATGATTGATTTTGCGGGAAATGCTTGTGGCATTTACTATGAGAAGGTCCCGTTTTTGAATTTCCTTTTGAAGGACCTATTGAAATAAATGAGTGGACAAATTATCACATAAGATATGCACAAACATTTGTTTCCACATCCATGAATTTAATCAAACTCCTTTTGGAAAGCATCAAATCTGTTTCTCCGCTTGGAAAAGGCCATAATGAGCCCCTGAGCCCAAGTGTATATTCCCCACTCCTAAGGGATAGGACGTCATGGGACTTCTGTTCATCTTGTATGTACTACATTGGCGCATGAACTACCTATGCACTCAAAGGAAGTCCCTAGTTGGTTTTGTTCCTCTCGATATCCTCTATTGGGGAATCAAAACCTAAATGGAGCATTATAAGGTGCAACAATGTATTGCCAATGGTGCCTTAATGGAAAATGTTAGAACAAGAGTATCTCATGTGAACTCTTAAGGAAACAGATACCATGTCATGTTGGACTTGGGAGGATCATTTGTGAATGGCTTCTTATTTCTGTATCAATACGGTAAGACTTGATTTTTGGAGAGTCAAAAATGCCTTTCTCATGAATATCATAGTTGTGATCTCCATTGACTTGTTTAATGTCAATATCTTCCATATTCTATCAATAGTTAATTTTCTCCATTTACGGCTGTGCTTTGAAATTGAAAGATGGAACATCGTTGTATGCAGGAGGCTGTCGCTGTTACCACTGCCATCCAAGAGGAGATATTTTCCGAGATGGGAATTGGTGAGCTTTAAATTACTCGTGCTTTACTTCAAGGACGGTTCAACTTAGGCAATTGTTGAGTATTAAAGAGCAAGTGCTCTTTTCTGCTGTATATCATACGTATGTTCGTCTGTACATATGTTCGAGCATGCGTGCAAAGACGAAGCACTTTTTACTCTAATCTAGTTGAACCGTGTCGCTTGGTCATTATATAGTGGTCCTTGTTTTTCAAAAAAGAGATGCCAAGCACCAGTTTTGCAGATAGAGCTGGGCAGAATTGCAGATCTGTTACAATGTGATTTTGCAGAAGTGGTTAATATATACTTGTGATGCTGATGGTGTTTCTGCTGTTTCATAAAATTGTATGTTTAGCTTGGAAGAAGAACTGTATTGCCCACTTTCTACAGGATGATAATCTTGTCATTTTTCTTGTTTCTTAGTTTAATTTGATAAGAAGTTAGATTGAGTTTCTGCTCTCTTTTTGTTATTTTCATTGGTTCAAAAACTAATACTAAAGTTTACCATTGGTGATATGCGGTGTCATCTAATAAATGCGGAAAAAACATACCTCCAATCGTTATTCATGCGTCATATAGTTATATCATTATAATACTATAACCAACGGGAGATCTTTATTTCTCTGCTGCAGATCCAAGATTTGGTCTTACTTGCTTGGGGAAAATAAACATGACCTATGAGAGTGATCGAGACCTGATGATTCGTTTTTATGAATTTGTTGCAAAGTAAGATTAGCCTATTCCATCTGCGTATTGTTAAGATGAACTTCCATTTTGTGTTTATTTCTCCTTTATACCTTTTGAAGAAAATTTCTTGGCACAGTGTTCAATAGGATATTGAGGCCATTCTTGCTAACAAATCCAATACAGATGTAATGAATGTTGAGTTCTCTGAAGAAAATAACTTGGATTTTGTTCCTTCTATTTTACTGGCCATGAAGAGAAGAAATGGCTTGTGAAGAGGCCGAGTTTGGTCCAGACAGGTTTGCTGAAAGATTAAAGATGCAACAAAATTTACAAGAGCAGGTAAGAGATCTCTTCTCTTGATGCTTAATGATGCTATAGATGTGGTAATAAGAGTGGAAATAAACATTTTGACAGCAACTGGAGATGCTGAAGTACATGCGCAACTTTCACATGGATGATCAGTCTGCAATACTTGAGAAGGTAATGATGAAAAACTACATATTAAGACGATCTCCCCATGAATGAAGATGCTGGTTTCATAAATAGAACATTAAAAAAAATGAAATCTCTGCTTGAATAAGTCTAGATAACATTTGTAGAAGTTAAAAAGTACCTGAAGCAATGGGGTTTGTTGACCACGAGCTTTTGTTGTCAGAGTTTACAACTCCATAAAAGTGATGGAACTTACAAAATTAGATTTCCATACCAATTAGCAACTTATTTTGCATGCTGTACCTATGTTGTTCTTCCAAATTGACTGGCATGTTTGACAGATTCACCAGCAGTTGGAGAAGGCCAACTTTGACACTGAAGCTTCTGTGCTGACAGTGGAGCAGATGCAGGATGTTGTTCGACGGAGAGTATCACCTTTGTTCCAGCCTAGATAATCACGGAGCTTTCGTGGAGTTTCTAGTTTTTACTTGCATTTTAATTCGACTGTGCCATTAGATGTTGAACCATGGCCCCCCCTGTCACACCAAGAGGAAGAAGAAATCGAGTGAAGAATAGCAGCTGCTTGCTTTGCTGCAATGAAATGGTTAGGGGAAATTTTCTGCTCTGCTGTCTAGTATATACTGGCTGAAACCCAGGAAGCTGAGGGCTGTAGTTTCAGTTTGTTTACTTGAAAGTAGCGTGACATTTTACTTGAATGAAGTAGTAGTATTAATTTCGTCTGTATTTCAAAGTCTATATGATGTGGTTTAAGTAGACATTTGTTATCTATTTAAGTAAACATTTGGAACAATAGGGACTTAAGATAACTATTAGAGATACGAAAAGCAATCGTTGCGGCATATAATCCAAAAGTAGTTGAACTGAAACAATGTTTTTGCTTGTGAATTCCATTTATTTAGCGATTCTAAAGGAAATATTGGTCCCTTAAGACATCCAACAAAATTGTAACGATACGGAGAATATTAGCATGGCCCATGTGCAACGATCGCAGGCACAAATAGAGAAATAGTCCAAATTTTTTAAAAAAGAAAATATTGAAAGTGGAAATTGGGCAATCTCAACGAGTGATTAACGCAACAAAGAAATGATGACGATGATGGACATTCTTAATTGAACAAAATTCATTTATAGCCACTCGGGCCAAACTTATATCACCCAATAGTCACAAAATGACCCATACAAGTCATAGCCTAAAAACAATAAACGGCTAGTAACTGAAAAATTTGAAAGTGGTGCCACTAAGGAAAATCGGAGCCGCGGCGGCAAGAATTAGTAAACATGAAGATAGCAGAGGCAAGAGAGAAGCAGAAGGAAGCAAATCGGAAGACGATAATCAAAATATTGAAACGCCGGACCTTGTGTACGGACACTGTAAGTGAAAGTGTGACGGCGACGGCGACGACATATCACTATATTCAAGAAACAATGACAGATTAAGAGACTTCATAGTTATATGTAGGCAACAAAATCTTATCTAGTACTCAAAGAAAGATGCACACAACAAAAAGAAGATCTTTTTCTTCCGTTTTCCTTTTGGGATTAGTCTTTTATTCCAGAAAAATGATGATCATGCCACAGAAAAAGCTAAAGGAACAAAGAGTTCGTGAATCTAATACCAAAGACGACACCTTTTTCTTTACAATGAAACTTTTTCAAATTTTCATCTTGTAATCCAGTATATGCATCTCAATCTAATTAGACAACAAGACACCCTTTGCCAAGTCTTATTATAAATGTACACATAATTCTGAACAAATAAAAATTTCCAAATACTAGGAAAAAAGGGAACTGAAATTTAAAGGGGGTTTTCCAAAAAGAAAATAGAAACTCATCATCGTCTTTTTCTTTTCTTTTTTCTTTATCTTTTAGTGAATTAACGGTGCATTGATAAATAACATGAAGAAATGGAAAAGTAAGAAGCTTTTAGTGTTGTATTTCAATGGAGCTGCAGGGTTTTGAGTTGGGAGTTTGAAGTCACGGGAAATAACAGGAAGTTTTATGGTTGTTCTTTCTCACATAACTATGTATAACGTTGAAATATATACAAAATAGACTGTCACTATATAAAATATATATTAAATAGACTGTCACCATACAATTTATATACAATAGACTGTCACTATACAAAATGTATACAAAATAGACCGTCACTATACAAAATGTATACAAAATAGACCGTCACTATACAAAATATATACAATAGACTGTCACTATACAATTTATATATAATAGACTGTCACAATACAAAATATATACAAAATAGACTGTCACTTTACAAAAAAATATATAAAATAGACTGTCACTGTACAATTTATATACAATAGACTGTCACTATAAAAAAATATACTAAATAGACTGTCACTATACAAAATATATACAAAATACACTGTCACTATACAAAAATATACAAAATAGACTGTCAGTTTGTCACTATACAAAAAATATACAAAATAAACTATCACTATATAAAAAATATACAAAATAGATATTTCGAACTATTAGATGTAATATGTTTGGGCATGAGGGACATTTCGTGTCAATGAAAAAAAATATGGGCTATTAAAATTTTGAGGGGCTATAGACAGCGGCGGAGCCACCTTATAGGAAATTTGACACCCATTCGCGGAAAAAATGCATTGTGTAGGTAGGTAAAAATAATAATTGATATATATATATACTATGTGTTGACTCCCCTTAATTTTCTGGTATGTTTACTTTTATATATTTTGACACTCCTTAACCAAAATTCAGGCTCCGCCACTGGCTATAGAGGGTCATTTTCTCTTCTTAATTGGCAACAACTTAAATAAGATCACACCTCCGAATCTCGGGTCTTATTAGTAATAAAAATTATAAGTGTAGCTAAACCACTTTAATAATCTAGAAATTGAATGGAAAATCATATGAGTTAAAATTTTCTTCTATTTTTCCTTTCATACTCTTAAAAAACTTGAACTTGCAGGCTGTAATTTTGCCCAAAAAAACAGTGCGTATAAATCAATTGGGAGGGAGAAAAGGATTTGGTGCGACGAGGTCACACATCCATAAGTGGATAAGCGATAAGGTCTTTTAATATCACTCACTCTCTCGTCTTTTCTTTTGGCAACGTCAGTCCCTTCCCCCTCTGAGAGTAAGCTTCACAATTCCACTTCCCCCCCACCCAACCAAAAAAACCAAAACCCCAAACCCCAATCTTCGACCTCCATTTACGTACTGAACAATTTTATCTTCATTTGTTGTTTTTTCTTTTGCAGCGTGTAAAAATGGCAGTGAGTTTTAGTTTAGTTGGAGCATTCAAAGGACTCTCTTTAGCTTCTTCCTCTTCTTTCCTTAAAGGTGACTTTGGTGCTGCTTTTCCCGTCGCTCCAAAGTTCTCGGTCTCCTTTCCGTTGAAATCTCCGTTGACAATTGAGTCTGCTCACAAGAAAGGAGCTGGTAGCACTAAGAACGGTCGAGATTCTCCTGGTCAGAGACTTGGTGTTAAGATTTTTGGTGACCAAGTTGCAAAGCCCGGTTCTATTATCGTTCGTCAGCGTGGTACCAAGGTCTCAATTTTACTTCTTTATTATGGGTTTCCTCTATTTTCTGCCAATTTTTGCTAAAAAGTTCATATTTTTGTATGTATTTTCACAACTCTGTCGGGTTATTCAGACTTAAAATCACTCATTCTTTGTGCTTAAAAAAGAATCGAAATGCAATTAAAGAGATATAAAAATGGGGTAGTAGTCCAATGCAGAGGAGAGCTAGGATTTTAACTATATGTGTTCTGGATTTTAGAACGACGACTTTAAGTGCTAATAATTGGGTTCTAAAATTTAATATTGGTACATATTTAAAGAATTACTTATCAGAAATACACTGTTTGAGCAGAAGCTATTGGGTTCGGTGGAACTCATAGCCGGGTTTCTAGCTCGGCCCCTGGTCCAACGTTCTACAATTCAAAGAAACTGGGTGGAGCTTGTAGCTCAGTGGATGAGAGCATGTGGCTACAAAGCACGGTGTCAGGAATTGAATCTGATAAGCAATGAACCTTGGGCCTAACTCAGCCTCAAAAGCTAGCTCATGAGGTGAGAATTGCCCAAGACTGAATAAGGAGTCAAATTATCCCATCCCACACCAATGTGGGACTCTAACATAATCCCTCCATGTTCGAAACAATATATATCATCTGAAAAGAGGAAAAAACCGAGTCTTTTTGTGTAAAGAATCACCCTTTGTCATTCTTGGACAAATTTCTCCTTTCATTTTTTTGGTTTGTCTTGCTGGAGCCTGGACATATGTTGTTTCTACCTGTAATGTTCTGTCTCTATAGGTATGAATATCTCTTTATATCTTTCGTGTTTCTCCTTCCATGAATTTGAAAGTATATCTTTCTATCTTTTTTATACGTGATGCGCACAAAATGAGCCATTGCCTCAACTAGTGCCTCCAAAATGTTAGTAGTATATTTTTTGGAATGAGGATGGTCTCCCTTTTGCAATCAATCGTNTTGAGTGTGTAAACCGCTTTGGAGGCGCTGACAGTAAGTAATTTCAAAGAGGCCTTTCTATTTTCAGTTTGGTCCTGACCATTTTTATTAAGAATTTGATTCATTCATCTTATCAGAGGCAACACCAAAGGCAATACTGAAGCTGATGGAGTCAGATGGCTTGACCATTTTCCATTTACTGGTGTCGAGGTTCTATATACAAATTTAAGATGTTGTGTAGATGTTTGTGGCGTCTTTATATAATGCAACTATTAGCAAAAAAACCACAAAAAAAGAGAGAATTTTTATTAAAAAAATTTGCGGGGTGGGTGAACGCGGGTGGAGTGTGGGCCGGGTGGATGCGGGTTTAAATCCTATGCGGGGCGGGGCGGGTTGAAATTGTGCGGGTTTAAATCCTATGCGGGGCACCGCCTGCCATTCCTAGTGATTTCAAGCCTGCGTGAGCTATAACTCTTCGGTGAAGTCTTTAAAAGACACGAGTAATTGATGTCTAGCTACACATAATAAGCTAGTAGGTGAGTAATGAACAAGTAGGTCATCTATAATGCAATTCCTTCTTTTGCAGTTAGGGATTTGCAAGGAAGAACGCTTACATCTTTCTTATAAATGGTGTTCTGGAAGTTGTGATATTTTCTGTTAAAAAATAGATTTTGGGACTAACTTAACCCCAAAAGCTAGCTCAAAGGGTGAGGATTGCCCCAAACCATATAACGAGACAACAACCCATTTACTCCACCAATGTGGGACACTTAACAGTTCCTTTTGTTGTTTAATGGTGATTGAAATGAATTCAGATGGACCAGTTCAAGTGGAGTATGTTTCAATGTAGTTCCAGTTTTGTTGCCCAATGTCTCACAAACATATATGTGCCTATTAAGTTCTGATGTCCTGATTAGCATTTGATTAAATTTTATTTGTTGGCAATCTGTGGATTGCTTATGGGCGGATAAATTAACTACAAAATGAGGTATTAGAGGGTTAACTGGATACTTCTTTTGCTGTTGTCATTTGAAGGAACAAATTGCTAGAATTTTAAGGTTCTGAGCTCTGATATATCTGACCTTACATGAAAACATAAAATTGGAAGTTTCCTGAAACAAATGACAGAAGGAAGTGTAAAGCATATGTGATTCTTTTGGTATTTCAAGGCTCCACACTTGTATATAATTGCCGAATTGAGTTGTTCTTTTATCAGAAGTGCGACTTTCTGATAATAAGATGCTTATGTTGAGCTGCATAAATTAGTTTTGGGTATATTTATATCTATCAGTTAGGTAATAAATGGGTTAGTGCCAATGATTGGTATTATATTTTGCTCAGAATGACCCCTGTTATAGTTGGCTTGTTCGATTTAAGATAGTTCAGAAGTTGTATTTCTCCATCTAGCATTGCCCTGTATTCTGTTTTCATGATGATTTACTAATTGTCCTCTTGGTGATGCTTCCAGTTCCACCCAGGAAAGAATGTTGGACTTGGCAAGGATCACACAATCTTTTCTTTGATTGATGGACTAGTCAAATTCGAGAAGTTTGGGCCTGATAGAAAAAAGGTTGAGTTCTCTTGCTTACCGCTTGTATATGTGGCACACCAGTGCGATTAACTGGATATGAATAATTGTGCAGATAAGTGTTTATCCACGTGAGGTGCAACCTGAAAACCCCAACAGTTATAGAAACCGAAAGAGAGAGTCCTTCAGATTACAGCGTGAACGCAGAAAGGCACGACGAGAGGGCGTCATCCTTCAGCCTCAGTTGATACTTGCTTCTGCTGCTGCTGAATCCTCTGAGGACAATGCAAGTCCTACTTGCTGATATTGGTCTTTTGATGTTTAACAATTCTGTTGTCATTTTGGTTATTTGTTAGCATTCACTTGGGAACATATGTAGGCCACGTTTCTACATTGTTCTTCTTCCATTGGTCTCTTTTGTTTGTAAATTGCATTACTATAAGCATGAGTAACAATTCTGTTGGTCTTTTGATGTTTAACAATTCTGTTGTCATTTTGGTTATTTGTTAGCATTCACTTGGGAACATATGTAGGCCACATTTCTACATTGTGCTTCTTCCATTGGTCTCTTTTGTTTGTAAATTGCATTACCAGAAGCATGAGTCCTTGTCACAGGTTGCATAAGTAAAGAATGAAATGGCTGATCTGGATTCTTTACTCCTTTACTAAATTGGCTCCATAACTCTAATTTCCTTTCTGTCTAGGGCTAAATTCCCTTCAAATGCAAGACACCCAACTGATAAAAGTCATAAAGACAATGATATTTCGAGGTGGCCACAAGCTCAGAGGATAACAGGAGGCTTAAGTTTTTCTAGGACATATCTTTTCAGCAAGCTAGTATGATTAAATACAGTAAGGTGGTCAATACAAGGGACCGAAACACAAAAATATGCCTTAAGATCAGCTTATAGGCTATAAGCTAAGAGAATAAGACCCTTGGTCTAATGGTCCAGAACTTAATTAATGAAAAGATCTTAAGATATGCGAGAGATAATACTGACAGTGTATAGTTGAGGGAAGTAACATTTAAACGGAAATCATACAATGTTGGCAGCAGAAAATGATCAGCACTGCGTGAAACAGTTGGTGGAAGTCGACAATCAACATTCCAAAGTTTCAAGTTTGACAACAAAATATACAGCAATCAAGACTTGCAAGACAATCTTTTATCTCACTCAAAAACAGAGAGCTTCCAACAGCAAAGGCAGCTGTCCCGTCTCCTTTATCGCTTGACCTCAGCCTGGAGGAGTGCTAATAGTGTTGGCTTGCAGTTTCACCTCCCTAAAATGGTCTCGGAAGCATAAGTTCATTGATAGTGTGTCTTCTGAAAACTAAATTTTCTACCCCTGTTTCACGCGATGGATGAATTATCCACGAGATTTTCCATAGAGATGAGCATATACAATCTTTGTCCGGTGCACCAGAATCATGCTTAGAACAACTGCAATAATGCAGAGTCCAGACATTATCATGGAAGTAAGGAAGAAGCATATAGCACCTTCACACTTCAGAGGTTCATCTACAGAAAGAAAGCTAGACAAAACTGATGCCAAATTTGATTCAGTGCCACGATACTCATGAGCTTGCTTTGCAGCTTCCATATCATATATACTACTAGCAATAACACCTGAGAATACCATTGAACCAGCAGGATTTGCAAGAGTGAGGAAATTGTATAAAGCCCCAAAATTTCTCAAGCCAAACAATTCAGAAGCTGCAGCTGGTACGATTGCCCAATGAGCTCCATAACCAAGTCCAACCAAAAGAGTACCAATGTGCATAGCTCCAGGCCAACCCATTGCAAAGAAGAAATGCCCAATGGCCATTATGACTTGAGCAACAGCCATTGCTGCATGTCTCGGATAGGCATAATCCCTGTCGTAAAAAGAACAATGTTATACGAGGAAAAATTTCTTAGGACTGAACATTCATGTAAGAAGTGAATGTTATGTACCTGACGATTATTTCAGAAAAGTAACCACCGCCAATACGACCAAGGAAGTTCCATATGCTGATCATAGAAACAAATACATGTGTGTTATCATATCCTAAAGATTGGCTTATCTGACCCAAGTTATCGATCACAGTCAAACCAGATCCAGAACCAAAAAGTAGTGAGAAAAACATAAGCCAAAAATCTGCCTTTATTAAAGCCTGCATTAAGGTGAAGTCCTCTCCCCTATGAGGTCCCCTTCTTCTTTTGATCCTCACTGCTCCTTTTGCAGCTGCCTGAGCTAGTTTTGCTTGCAGTTGTGCAATTCTTCTTTGCCTTTCTGAAGCTGGAAGCGCGTCCACTTCCTTAGGCTTCTCGTCTTCCACTTCACTAAATATTATTTCATGACCATCACCAAGCTCAGATTTGCTAGTTTCTTGTTTCTTTGACTCAGATAGAAGTCCCTCTTCTACTGGTTCTCTTGGATCTTGAAAAAAACTCGAGGAGATAGGGATCACGATAGGAATTGCCAAGAGGATAAACAATATAGCCGTGAAGATTGTAATGACAATGTGGCTTAAATCAATAAGGTCTTCAACAAGCATAACTCCCATCAAGTAAGAAGCCAAGAGGAGGCATATGCTGTAAATAAACGAAAAGTTTAACCCATCCGAAGGCCTGACTTGTTTGTGGCCTCCAACAGGCCTGATTATAAACATGAGCGCGATAATTACCATTGCCGGTCCAACAGCTATCATAAATATAAGTGAAGCATGATCTGGAGAATGGATCACTGCATATATCTGAGTCAAAATTGCACCACCCAATCCTGCAAATCCCTTGAGTATCCCCACCACAGGGCCGCGACTTTTAGGGAAATTTTGCACACATGATACCAGAGCTGCTGTGTTAAAGTAGGTCTCGCCATTTGTTCCGATAAATATCAGAATACACATCTGGAAGGAAGCAGCTAAAACTATGTCAATTGTTAGACCAAACTAGGAGTCCACAACACTGCATGATCAACATGGTCTGTAAATAAGTGAGTTTGCTCCAATCAGAATAGAATATCTAACAGAACATCTCCAAATGAATGATCAAATAAAAAACCTTCTTACATTCTAAAGATTGTTGATAAACAAGAAAATAAGCATAGTTCTTGTCAGATGAAGAAAATTGGATAACTATCAAGATCTGAAACACTTTCTATAGTTAATTGATGCAAAAGAAAACATGACTACAGAAGGGAAAAAAACACTCCCAAGGGGATTTTCATTAATCAAAATTTGTCACTCAGTTAAACAGCTGTGCAACCTTATACCTTCTTGGCCCATAATTCAATGTATAGCATCCAAAATAGGCTATAAAAGGGCAGCCCGGTGTACTAAGGGGTCCGGGGAAGGACCGGACTACAAGGGTCTATTGTACGTAGTCTTACCCTGCATTTCTGCAAGAGTCTGTTTCCACGGATCCAAAATAGGCTATAGTAGACTAATAAAGAATGGATTTAAGTTTTGTACACCGACGGTATAAAAAAATTCTTCATACTATCGGTGCAATTTAGCAGATTATCAATCTATTTACTATATTAAACTTGATATGAAGAATTACTAATTGTTGCAGGTCATATTTACCTGATAGGGTAAAAAGTTAATACAAACTTAATTCATAAAGAATTCAATAAACGGATTTACCATACCATAGTTAATAGAAAGGATAGTCAAACAGAGCAGACCTTTTCAACTAAAAACTACTAGAAATTAAGCAAGAAAGTTTGGCACTTTTGAAATCAGAATTAAACAGATTGGATGAAGATAAAAGATGGGGTACTCACAGCCCATAATGGCAAAGAAGGAGCACGAGAAGTGACAATGAGCCAAACCCAACCATAGCCAATGAAGTTTTGAATAGCACCCACAAGAAGTGCAGCCCACAAAGGCAAGATTTCACACAAAGTTCCAGCCAAGAATCCAACACTATCACCCAAATCTTTAGCCACACCCAACCTCGCAATTTGCCTCTGATTATAATTCAGAGACTTCTTAATCGTTGGAGAAATGCTGCCGAATAAATATCCAATGCCAGCACATGTCTGAATCCACATTGCAGCTACAAAAACGAGCCATCTGTTGTTAAAGAGGAAACCAACACTCTCTTTCAAATGAACCATTATTACAAGAGTCTTGAGATAGATATTCTTAAGCTTATGATCAACTATTGTTTTTAATCAAAGGACCACAGACCTTGCTTTTATCATGTATGTACGGTCACTTTCTTAACCTTTTTTTTTCTTTCTTATAGCAGTGATTGAGAAGAGCAGGGGATAAAGGTCGGGGACAGAGTATATCAGTATTACTTTCTAGTAAGTATGATGTTTTGTCGGGTTGTAATGTACCATAATTTATGTAACTGAAAAGAAAAGAATCTAGCGGAAAGGGTGGGAGATAAAGATCGAAGTACTGCTCTTTATCTATGATCCATGTATTTAGTACTTGAGACAGTAAAGGTTTGCACTAATTTCGCGGAATTCAAGAAAAGACCAGAAGACCAAGGAACTACTTGACACAGTAGAAGAAAACAAATTAAAGAGAGGGCAGTACTTCCGCATGTTACAACTAACAAGAAGAGAGACGACACAGTTAAGTGGTGTGCCCCGCGCCAAACATTACCGCAGCTTCCTGCATGCTATACTTAATTTGTGTTTACGTGGGGGCTTATATTGGCCTCCTCCTCATCACTAGTCATCACTCACCATATGTCTTCAGCAGTCTAAAGCTTTTCTTTTTTCTTTTTAATTTACTATTCGTGTCTTGGATTAACGTTAAATTGTCTCTTTATGACCTACAGGTTACAAATTCAGCCAATAATACTTGCATTAATATAGACTATTTACATCATTAGTCGCTTGTTTTCTCTCTCTATATGCTCTAGTACAACTCCGAATATCGTAAACTTATTAGAGATTGAAATATCTTATTGCTCTATTCATTTCAATTAATTATGTGAACCTATTTAATTGAATACAGAGTTTAAGAAAAAATTAGTAAGACTTTTAAAATATGTGATTTTAAACAAACCACAACAATTGTGTGAATATAATTCTTTTGATAGTTGTGGTCTTAAATATGTCATAGTATTTGTGTGACTCTAAAATCATCTTATTAAGGGTAAGTTTAAGTTAAATTATTTTTAAATTTATAAAAAAAATTACTATTTTTGGAACAGGCGAAAAAAGAAATAAATTGACATAAACTGGAGAAATATAATTATTTTAAGTTCAATGGGTATTTTGCATAAATTGCTCAATATTTTGAGCTTCTGCATAAACACGTTTACACAATTCAACAATTTCAAAATGAGCAATTTATGTAAAATACCCATTGAACTTAAAATAATTATCATTCTCGAAAACTATTTACAATATATGTCTATCTAGTTAAAACTAATTACCTAACTTAATTTAGCTTGATTTGGTTTGGCTTGAATCGGCTTGGCAATTAGCAATTTAGTAGCTTAGTCCTTTGGGTGCGTTAAAAAAAACTGAGTAGGGGAAAAGGGCATGAGTAGGGCGGGTAATTATTTTCCATGAGATGGGTATTTGCTAAACTTCCCCCCAAATAATAAGAGGTGAAACTTTTATCCATTTATTTTATCTTCAAAATTTAACGTAAAAACAATGCATAAAGCTTTGACGATACTGAGTTGCTTCTTTTCCTTTTTGTTTTCAAATAATTTCCTCTTTCGTTGGCTAACCACGCCTAGCTGACAGGCACTGATGAAAAAACCAGGATAAAGTAAAAAAGATCAAACGTTACATTTGGATCTGAAGCTAATAATAACGTAGAAAAAATATGTTCATTAAAACTCTTCGAGGACAGATATCTCAAACAGATAATGACTATTAACTAAGAGAATTTTGGTTGTTAAAAATAATTATACAATTATCGAAGGGACTATCGGTCGCTAGCCGAATTGACTTAATACATTGTTGTCATTCGAGACTTTTAACAACCGGATAACAAATTAGCGACATGTATAACGATCGAAAATTATGCCGTCGCTAAAGAACCTTTAACGACCAAATTGTAAACTGGTCGTTAACTTTTAACGTCGGAACTTTTAACGACCGATGACGATCGGATTTTTTCCGGTCGTTATCAATTTATAACGACCGGAATCGGACTTTTAAGGACTAGGCTAAAGTCCCATTTTCTTGTAGTGATACGTAACTCATGCTGTTTTTCTTTTCTTGGACGATTCTTAACTCGTGCTGTTGATTCTCCAATGTATATAGTAGCTATCAGACCTGTTGAATCAGATTCTCCCTCCTTAAAAAACAAGAATTGGCAAGGTCTGCAAAGAAATAAATGATCATATACGCAATAAAATATTGTTCCTTCTCTTTCGATTTAGATAACATATTTTGTTTATCGAGAATTAGTTTGATTAAACTTTAAAGTTAAATTAGATTAGTTCAACTCATAATTTTAAAATTTAAATTTAAATATTCAAAAACTATACGAAAAGTACTATAATTAAGTTGCAACTTTTCTCATGTCAATATGATAAAAAAATTATTTTAAAATATTGGTCAAACTTTACATAATTTGACTCTGGATATAAATGTATCATCCAAATTGAAAAGGGAAATAAGTAATAATGACGCATTTTAATTAAAAATCTATGAACCATTATTCGAACCTAAGCTTTTCTTGAAACACTTGTTGTTTGTGCGGTTTTGAAGAAAAGAAACAAAACGAAAAGTGAAAAAGAGAACTGAAAAGAATGTTTTTCATCATATCATCAGCTCACTTTAATTTCACTTTTAAAAAAAAGGAGTATTAAAATAATTTTAGAGGATGGTGCATGCCCAGCTGTTAATGAACTGCTATTTGCAAATACGCATAGCATAAAAATTCAGCATAAGGCGTTGCGGTTAGCAAAATTAGGAGGTTGGAAAAGTCTGAATACAAAGGAAAATTAGAAAGAATTAAAAAGTTAGAATAGTGTATAACTTTAGAACATTTAACACCCAATTCATATCCTTAATTATTCAAAATCCATTTCACTGGCCAACTTACTTAAAAATGCCCCACACATATAAGTAAATGGAACATATATCGTACAACTGTATTATATGTTAAGTTATTAAACATTGATTCATTGCTAAATTTGATTATTACTAATAAACGATCAATAATATCAAACATGAATCATTTCATCTGGCCTATACTTGTCTCTAAACTCAAAATTTTGATAAACTAATCAAGGATGGCATTTGATAAATCGTATTGTTGTAAGAACTTTACACTATATTTGTAAATATATAATTATAATATTGAATGTAACCTCAAAAGTCGATATGTCCGAGTGGTTAAGGAGACAGACTTGAAATCTGTTGGGCTTCGCCCGCGCAGGTTCGAACCCTGCTGTCGACGCATTTATTTTCTTTTACATTATCTTAAAGCTTTTAACGTGGTTAAATGAAAAGCCATTTTCAGGGAAAAATAACAACATGATTATCAGTCCCTTGGATTGAAGAGTTAAACCTTCATCAGAAAAGCAAAAGCAGAAGCGGATCAATGATTTAAGTTTTATAAGTTCAATCTTTAAGGTTTTTAGTATTAAATTCATTTTTTATTTTTTTTATAATTATGAGTTTATATTGCTATATATTATAATATTAATGATTGTTTACATATAAATTTATACTCCATATTAAAAATATTATTTTCAGTTGAACCGGTGCCGATACATTTCATCCGCCTCGATTCATGTCATGAGAAACATTCCACCATTATTTACACCCAAAAGTTCCTAAGTGACTTTCGATTGATAGATATTCTAAGTTTTAGTCATTGACAATTTTTGTATTTATTTAAATGAAAATAACTTTTGTACTTGTTTAGTTCACACGATCTACTCGGAGGTTTATATTGCTATATATTATAATATTAATGATTGTTTACATATAAATTTATACTCCATATCAAAAATATTATTTTCAGTTGAACCGGTGCCGATACATTTCATCCGCCTCGGTTCATGTCATGAGAAACATTCCACCATTATTTACACCCAAAAGTTCCTAAGTGACTTTCGATTGATAGATATTCTAAGTTTTAGTCATTGACAATTTTTGTATTTATTTTAAATGAAAATAACTTTTGTACTTGTTTAGTTCACACGATCTACTCGGAGGTATTTCACTAATAAAATATCACAAAGCAAACAAATAGAAAAAAACGGTTATAAAATAAAGACTATAAAGTAAAGACAAGTATAGAGAGAAATTGATATATTATTCAATTTCAAACTGATATACATAATGAACTGAAATCTCCTCTATTTATAGAAGAAAGGAAGTTCCTGTGTAAGATGCTATTAGGGGTGGCAAACGGGCGGATCGGGTCGGGTCGGATATGGGACGGATCAAAATGGGTAATGAAAAAATGGATAAATTATCCGACCCGACCCATATTTAATACAGATAAAAAACGGGTTAACCGGCGGATAATATGAGTAACCATATTATCCATGGATTCTTGAATATGATCACTTTTGGGAGAATTTCTAGTCTCCCAAACTTGAGGAACCCCCAATTTGAGGTTTTAGAAATGTAAAAGTTAAACTCATTAGTTATCCATTTTCTAAATGGATAATATGGTTCTTTATCCATATTTGACCTGTTTTTTAAAAGTTCATTATCCAACCCATTTTTAGTGGATAATATGGATGGTTAACTATTTTCTTTGAACCATTTTGTCACCCCTAGCCGCTAGTGCAAGCTGCTACTGCAAATTGCTATGTAAACTGCTACTGCAAACTGTTGTATAAGATGTTATTGTACCAGATATAGATAATCTTCTACCGAAGGTAATATTTATCCAGAATGGAGTACCGAAAAAATAAGTTTCTTCAGGAGACTTATTTCCAATAGAGTAATAAATAGATAAACATATTTACGGCGGAGTTCCATATGGATAAGCTTCTCCAAGAAGCTTATTTACAACAGAGTACTAAATGAACATCCATAATATAATATATTTATAACACTCCCCCTTTGATGTTCATTAAAAGATAATGTACTTCATTAAAACCTTACTAGGAAAAACCTTGTGGAAAAAAAAATTCTAGTGACGGAAAAAGAGTACACATATTTAGTAATACACATAACTAGTTGTCGCGTTAAAAACCTTATAAGGAAAACCCTATGGAAAAAACCTTAGTACGGAGAAAAGAGTATAACGCGTATTTTACTTCCCCTGATAAAAATTTTATTTTAAATATTTGAGTCTCCGCATTCCATTCTTGTATACCATCTTCTCAAAGTTGAAGTTGGCAAAGATTTAGTGAATACATCTGTCAGATTGTCACTTAAACGGATTTATTGCACATCAATGTCACCATTTTTCTGAAGATCATGTGTGTAGAATAATTTTGGTGAAATGTGCTTCGTTCTATCTTCTTTTATAAATCCTCCATTTAATTGGGCTATGCATGCAACATTGTCTCCGTATAAAATTGTGGATCTTTTATCACAT